TGCCAGGCGCCGGGCTGGAGTGCAGTGGCACAATCTCGGCTCACTGCAACCTCTGCCTCCTGGGTTCAAGCAATTCTCCTGCCTCAGCCTCCCGAGTAGCTGGGAGTGTAGGCGTGCGCCACCATGTCCAGCTAATTTTTGTATTTTTAGTAGAGATGGGGTTTCACCATGTTGGCCAGTATGGTCTCAATCTCTTGACCTTATAATCCGCCTTCCTTGGCCTCCCAAAGTGCTGGGATTACAGGCTTGAGCCACCACACCTGGCCTCAGTTAGGGATTTATGTGCATCATTTTTTGAAATGTAGTGCCCAGGCTGCACATCTGGCAAAGGTCTGATGGGTGTTTGACTAGACAAGCAAGTGAATGGAAGAAAGAGGGCTCTGTTGAAAGGAAGGGGATAAATTTAACTCAATAAAATTTAAGACATTGAAAGGCTCATCTGCCCTATCTTCTATTGTTTACCCAGTGCATCAGGCCCATGAGGTGGGAGGAGGAAGTGGAGGCAAAACAACTGGGGTAGGCTTAGCTTTTTCACTCTGGAAACTGGATGTTTGATTTAAATACCCAACATGGTACTAATTAGCTGTTAAAACACCAGTCATTCCCGAGCCCAATAGGTCTAAACACCTACTGTTCGTCTACTAAACTTCCAATCATCCTTTGTAACTTTTGTGAAGTCTGCTCTGACCTTGCCCACCAGCTCCCGAAGAGTCGGCCACTCTGTTACTACTTGACCGTGAACCTCTATCATTGCTACATATTGCATTTGGCCACCTTATAAGCTATGTTCCCTAAACTTGGATATATGTTTCTCTGGGGGATACATAACACTAAGTAAATATTATAATAATTTAATACTGTGATGTAAAATATTTTTATGTTAAAACAGCCATATTATGAAACAGGATCACAATAATAAAAGAGTTTTTAGGGCCAGGTGCGGTGGCCTCACACCTGTAATCCCAGCACATTGGAGGCTGAGGTGGGTGGACCATTTGATGTCAGGAGTTGGAGACCAGACCGATAAACATGGTGAAATCCCTTCTCTAATAAGAACACAAAAAATTAGCTGGGCGTGGTGGCACATGCCTGTGATCCCAGCTACTTGGGAGGCTGAGGCAGGAGAATCACTAGAACCCGGGAGGTGGAGGTTGTAGTGGGCTGAGATCATGCCATTGCACTTCAGCCTGAGTGACAGAGCAAGACTCTGTCTCAAAAAAATAAAAAATTTTTAGAATTAAAGAGGACATATGAAAATAATGACAGCTAGTATTTATTGAACATTTACTATCTCCAAGACAGTGTGTTAAATGCTTTACATTATCTTGAATACTTTGCAAGCAGCAGACTTTTGAGTTCTTCCCAATGCCCCTAGGGGTGAGAGTTCTAGTTCTAGTGTTTGTGGCATTTGGGAAAAGTGGGAGAAGGGTTGTTTACTTGAGCTCTGCATTTCCAGCACCCAGTAGCTAGCCTGTACAAAGTTGAACTTCAGTAAAGGCCTGTGGAAAGAATGGACCCTGTTCTCTGCTGGAATGTCATTTCTTTCCTCCCTCCCTCCCTACCTGGTGAACTCTTATTGGCCCTTCAATAACCTGTTTAAATGTCATCTCCACTGTGAAATCTGACTCTCAACTATTTTATCTGGCTGCCACTGCCTTTGGGCTCCCCTCAGAACCAGCAGTGGGTAACTAGATTAACACTCTTTGTTTGTCATTGATATGGGGTCTCAGTCTGTTGCCCAAGCTGGAGTACAGTGGCATGACCATGACTAACTAACTGCAGCCTTGACCTCCCTAGGCTCAGATAATCCTTCCACCTTAGCCTCCTCAGTAGCTGGGACTATAGGTGAAAACTACCATGCCCGGCTAATTTTTGCATTTTTTGTAGAGACAAGTTTTTGCCATGCTGCCCAGGATGGTCCCGAATTCTTGGGCTCAAGCTATCTGCCTATCTCAGCCTCCCAAAGTGCCAGGATTATAGCGTGAGCCACTGCACCCCGCCTACTCTTTATTTATTGGACTCCAATATAAGGGGTTGGGCAGCTCCTCTAAGAATGGATCTTGGTCTGATTTCCCAGTATCTAGCAAAGAGCTTGATAAGAGAAGCCCTCAGTGTGCATTTGTTGAATGAGTGAAGTGATAAAGTTAGCTAATATTCAGAACTGATCATTAAAGGAGAAAGAAGTGATTTTGTGTTCTTTCTCTAGGTCCATTTTCTTAACTGAGTGATGGCCCCCTAAAAGATATGTCCATGTTCTAACACTTGGACCCTGTTACTATGACCTTATTTGAAAAACGGTATTTGCAGATGTAATGAAGAATCTCAAGATGAAATCTAAATTATCTGGGTAGGCCCTAAATACAAAGACAATGTCTTTTTTTTTTTAAACAGATTCCTGGCCTGTCATCCAGGCTGGAGTGCAGTGGCACCATGTCGGCTCACTGCAACCTCCGCCTTCCGGGCTTAAGCAATTCTCCTTAGCTTGCCAAATAGCTGGGATTACAGGTGCCCACCACCATGCCTGGCTAATTTTTGTATTTTTAGTAGAGACGGGGTTTCACCATGTTGGCCAGGCTGGTCTCAAACTCCTGACCTGAAGTGACCCGCCCACCTCAGTCTCTCAGAGTGCTGGGATTACAGGCCTGAGCCACCGTGCCCCGCCTTCTTTTATAAAGACATTGTCTTTAGGCTGGGTGCAGTGGTTTATGCCTGTAATCCCAGCACTTTGGGAGGCCAAGGCGGGCACATCACCTGAGGTCAGGAGTTCAAGACCAGCCTGACCAACGTGGAGAAACCCCGTCTTTACTAAAGATACAAAATTAGCCAGGCATGGTGGCACATGTCTGTAATCCCAGCTATTTGGGAGGCTGAGGCAGGAGAATTGCTTGAACCTGGGAGGCGAAGGTTGTGGTGGGCTGAGATCATGCCATTGCACTCCAGCCTGGGCAACAAGAGTGAAACTCCATCTCAAAAAAAAAAAAAAGAAAAAAGAAAGAAAAGAAAGAAGAAAGAGAAAACATAGGAATAAGAGAAGGCCATGTGATGACGAAAGCAGAGACTGAAGTTATGCAACCACTAGGTAAGAAACTAGAGCTATCAGGAGCTGGAACACGTAAGGAAGGATCTCCCCTAGAACCTTCTGATAGAGCACAGCCCTCCTGACACCTGGATTTCAGGATCCTGCACTCCTGAACAGTGAGAGAATTTCTGAGGTTTCAAGATACCCAGTTTGTGATAATGTTATAGCAGCCTCAGAAAACTAATACAGCTTAGAAACAGAAATGTGTTTTGTGTGAAATTCCCCCCAGATCTTGGCACCACATGAGCTCAACCAGACAAGATTTGGGATTTCCCGGAGACTCCTTTCTCAACAAACACCTGACCACGCACCCCAGGCTTCAGCCATGAGGAACCACTCAATGTGTCAGAACAGGAGACAGTGTGACATCTTTGTGGTCCAGCTCTGAGAAAAGATCCAAGGTGTTTTTCAGGCTTCTAAACACCCTGGAAAGACAGTATGCTTACATTTTGTTTAAAAATTTAAAATGCAAGTATTACGTGCTAGGTCCCGTGTGGGCACTTTACATATGCTGATTTACTTTAATCCCTACAGCAACTCTGTTACTATTTTAAATCTGAGAAAGGGGAACTCACTTGCCCTGGGATACATAGCTCAAAGGTGGCAGAGCCAAGATTCCAGAGTGCCTGATTCCTATCGTGTCTGACTCTAAAACACTATGTTCTTTCTGCTATGTTCAGCCAGGTGGTGGAAAAATTCAGTCTAGGGGTAAAAAAAGGAAGATCAATATCCTGCAGAATGACTCATGCTATTTATTATAGAAGCAATTGCTGGAGATGCTATTATTGTGGATCGCAGAAGTCTTCATGGAAGAGGTGGCATTTGAGCTGGGCCTTCACTGCACAAAAACCATTTCCTGATTCTCTGTCAGGCACTGGGGATGCAGAGATGAACCAGACAAGGTCCTTTTGCTTGAGGAATTCACTGTGTGTGTGTGTGTGAAGGAGGGTGCTTGTGTGTGTTAAAAGACAATGTGGCCAGGCCCAGTGGCTTGTGCCTGTAATCCCAACACTTTGGGAGGCGGAGGCTAGAGCCGATCGCTTGAGCCTGGGAGTTTGAGACTAGCCTGGGAAATATGGCCAGACCCCATCTTTACAAAAAATTTAAAAATTACGAGCCTGGGAGTTTGAGACTAGCCTGGGAAATATGGCCAGACCCCATCTTTACAAAAAATTTAAAAATTAGCTGGTCGTTTCAATATGCCTGTATTCCCAGCTACTCAGGAGGCTGAGGCGTGAGGATCACTTGAGCCCAGGAGGTCGAGTCTGCAGCGATCCCTGATCGTGCCACCGCACTCCAGCCAGGGCAAAATAATGAGGTACTGTCAAAAAAATAATAATAATAATAGAATAATCCAGATCATGGTAGAGTCAGGTTCCTAACTCAAGGTCCCAGAGAGGCTCAGAGAAGCCTTCTGGAAGAAGGGACTCCTGCCCCAGCTGAGACTGATGGATAAGAAAACATTAAGTCAGGAGGAGAAAAGTAGTAAAGGCTTTCTAGGAACAGCACAAGCAACCCATCCAAAGCCGTGAATCGGCGTCCTGGGTGCCTGGCACACCTTGTAGCTCAGCGTACTAGTTAGAGGAGTGCAGGAAGGGGCGTGTACTCGTGGGTTGGAGTTGGTCGTGGAAGAGCTGGTGGGACCGCCCGACGGTTCTCGGGTTCCAGTGCATCCTGCGTGGTGGCTCTCTGCTGAACCATAAAGCATTCCTTTTCCATCCCTGCACGCCGATGAGAATGCCTCGGGAAAAGATTACACATGGGCCCGCCACGGCAGACAAGCGATTGCCACCCAGCCGGCTTCCAAGCGGATCCCCGCCCTCCACAGCCTGTTACCACGGCAACCAGTAAAGGCGGAAGTGGCTCAGAAGACTGATACTCCCTAATCAGGTGACTCTCCTTCCTCCCACACGTGACACCGGAGCCCAGGCGCGCGCTCTACCTAATCAAGACCCCACCCCTCTTTCCCTTTAGTGACAATTGACAGCGACCTCGTGCAATGGCCCTTCCGGCTCCTCTAGGACACTCTGCCCGTTGGTAGTGAATGAACCAATTAGACAGGGAAAAAAAGAAGCAACGCCCCAGGTTTCACTCTTGCTTGACAGACGCAATTGAGGCCATCCTCGAGTCCCTCCGCCCCCAAGTCCAGTCCAGCTGGCGATGGACAGACCTTCTACCCAATAGCACGTCCGTTTTTTTGCCGTTGGGTACCGCCCCCTTGAGAGCTAAGCCAATAAACGCACCGGGTCTCGGCGGGGTGGAGGGGTTGCACTGCGGTAATATGGCTCTTCCTTAGCCAGCTGCGGCGGCAGTGGCTGCGGCCAGTGTTGGGACGGAGCAGTCCTGCCTCTTGGGTGGCGGGTGTCTAGGCTGTAGGGGCTCGGCGGGTGGAGGGTAGGAGGTGGCAGCCGATGCTGGTGGAGCGCCCGCCCCGCCGTTTGGCGGACCCTGGATCAAGATGAGCGCCTCCGCGTCGGTCGGGGGCCCGGTGCCCCCGCCACCACCGGGCCCAGCCGCGGCGCTGCCTCCCGGTTCTGCCGCGCGGGCCCTGCATGTGGAGCTGCCGTCTCAGCAGGTAAGCCCGCGACTCGCAACGCTCGGGAGGGACCCTGGCAGGCCAGCGTGGAGAGTCTGCTGGCTCCGGGCTGACCCCGCGAGCTGGGACACCCAGAGCAAGGACCGGGAGGGCTCGCGGGACTGAGGAAGGCTGTCGGGAGATCGTGTGCGGGGAGGGGTCCAGTGATGGCCGAACCTCCGGGAGATCCCAGAGTCTTAGGAGAATCCCGTTAGAGGAGATGGGCTTGTGAGGAAACAAGCAGCCAGCCATCGAAAGTCCCTGGGGCCCCGGCCCGAGGCCGCTTTTCCCCACACTTAGAGCCGGGGATTCCCTTGAGCAGACCCTCCCCCTCGTCGTCCCCCCTGCAAGGGACCTGGGAAAGCCCCTGTGTCCCAAGGGCCATGGCGAAAGCACTTCCCTTTCCCCACCTGGCCATCCCCTCTTACGGAGAAACCAGTTTGTACTGTCGTGCGAGAGCCCTGGAAGAGACTTTGGGGTTTCTACCATTTGCTTTTTAATCTTCCCTGATGGTTAAGTGTTCAGCCTCTTTAGACAAATGTGTTTGAGACTTCCTAATTCTCCGAGTCCCAACGAACGCCTGTTAATAATGAGGAGGACTCTTTCCTACTTCATTCCCTCCAGGGAGTCTCTGTGGAAGGAGGATTTGATGTATATATTCATGTGTTCCCTCATACTTTGGGAAAGATGTTGGGGACTTCTTGGCTCTACCTTACCGGGAGATAAGAAAGGGAAACACTGATTTTGGGGATCTGACAAAACTCTTTGTTTCACTCACATATCTATAGAGTACTTCCCTTCTTATATCCTTGGCCTTCCTTCTGTACCCCCAAGGGGAGATTTTGTGGGAATCTTAGCATTAAAGAGACCTGAAGAAAGTACCTTTTCCTCTCTCCGTTTATTCCTCCTTCAAAGAAGAGGAACTAGGAGAAACTGTCATTTATTGACAGCTTACCGTGTTAGACTTGTGCAAAGGGCTCAGTGACCATTAGTTGACTGAATTTCCACAACTCTGTGAGTTAGCTGTTTTTATTACCTCCATTTGGCAGTTGACACTGAACCTTGCCCAGAGCCTTCCAGTTAGTAAGTGGTGGGGCTGGGTTGCAGAATCCAGTGTTTGACTCTGCAACCACGCACGTGCTTGAGACTTCGGCAGCCTTCCTCCACCACCTTTACACAGGACAGAGAAAGCCCCTTAATAACACCCCTCCAACTTTCCATAAGCTGCCAGTGGGACTGAGGAAGGATTCATAAAGAAGAAGGGAGAGGCTGTGGGGAGAGAGTGGTTGAAAAGTGAAATGGATTTTGAATGCAGTAAAGGAGGCGGGGTCTAAAGGGAAGAGTTGGAGATAATAATCACAGTGGCTGCCATTGAGTAGGCAGGCAGAAGAGCTTGCAGAAGCAACGGCTTTTTGTGTTACTACTACCGAAGAGGATTGAAAAGATACCGTGTGCCCTGGTTTTGTGATGCTGTTGGGCAGGGAATTTCTGAATAGTAGGAGTTTGAGGGTAGTCGGGATTTGGATTGTATTGTGACACTGGAGAGGGTAGAAGTCTGGCTGGGGAGACTCGTTCTGCCGTGAGCATTAGTGTAGGTTTTTTTTGTGTGTGGGAGGTAGAGTGTGAGGGTGGATGCCGGGAGAGGGAATAAGGAGCATCGTTAACAGCCTGGAGCAGTCCTAAGTAGTTCAGGGGCCAAGAAGTGTTTAGTTTGGGGGAGCTTTGAGAGCATGTGGGATTAAGAAAGAGAAAGCTTCATTTACTTCATAGAGCCTGTTCTTTGGTAATAGTTAACAGTTTAACACTGGGAAAACTGATGCAAACAGTTCATGGAATAATTTCAGCCTCATTTGTTAGTGTTTGCAAATTTTTGGATTGGTGCCAATGGATATAGAGTGGCTTAAGTGTACAGCTGAATGCTATATGAGTGCTGAGTGTGCTATTTACAGCTTCCTGGAGGTGTCATCCTTGAATTCTTGGAAGGCAGCCTATGTAACAGAGCACTTTTACTTTTGCAGTTGACATTAATTTAGCTTTTGGAGTCAAAGTGCTCCGGTTTTTATTGTATAATAATATCTATAAAATCTTGTTGAAGTTTTATCTGTGTAAAGTAAAGTACACAGATTATTAGTATTCACTCGATGAATTGTCACCAAGTGAACAGTTACGTAAGTACTACCCAGATTAAGAAATACAAAATTTTGGCTGGGCACAGTGGCTCACACCTGTAATACCCTGTCTCTACTAAAAATACAAAAAAAAAAAAAAAAAAAAAAAAAAAAAAA